AAGGTTTCACGGGAAACACACCACCAGCTGGGGCTTACAGAAATTGGAACGTATCCTCATTCATAAGGAATGAGCAGGAGCTTGCTGATGAGGCCACAAGGCATTAATTCGACATAGTTCGACTCTCGTCAATGAAAACCCAAGGATCTGCAATGCTGAACCACTGCGGGTGAAAGCCATTCTACTCAGATCTCCACATCACCAACCGCGGTCAGGACGGTTTTGGCGTCGTGACAGAACACAACCTGTCGAGTGGAATCATGGAATGAAAGCTTGTCAGCGGAAGAGTGGCAATCCTATGACTGAAAATATAACATGTTAAAGCGATGACATTGCTGCAGGCCTATGCGCAAAATTTAGAGGGAGAACATGGTTCTCCCCTTGAGGAAGTAGTGTGCTTTGTTCGAAGTGCCGTGCACGGAGTCACTCATATTCATGGACGATTTTAATGCGCATATCGGAGTAGACGCTGAAAAGCTGAACGGTGTAATTGGAAGAAACGGCTCTAGTGCCCTCAAACAATAATAGCCTATAGTTGTTGCAGTTTTGTGCAAACAACGGATTGTCCATTATGAACACCTTCTTCGAGCATCGAAAAGTGCATCAGTACACCTGGCACCGGGAAGATTGTGCACAGAAGTCGATGATCCATTAGATAATCGTCTGACTTAAGACCTTCAGTGATGGATATTCGCTTTACGAGAGGCGCAGAGCTATCAACCAATCATCACCTTGTTGTTGGCACGCTGCTCTGTAAGAAATGGAGTACCATACGAAGATCCGGTGGCAGAAGCAACCGGAGAAACAAATGGGAAACATTCTCTTCGGTGGACATTTCGGAGCGAAATTTCCAAACAACATCGCACGACGGTTTAAACAGATCCCAGCGATGACGACTGATGTTGAAACCGATTGCATCTGTTTAAGAGAGGCCTACTTGAGGCTGCCGCCGAATTCTGCGGATATAAACGGGTTGGTCTTCCGCCTGGAGGTCAGCAAAGATCTTCATGGTGACACGAGAGGTACAACTGGCAATTAAAGAGAAGAAAGCATCGCTCAAGAAATGGCTTGGAAACAAAGAGCCTTCTACTTGAGTGCGATCTGTAAAGGCACGCAAGGCGGCAGAGAAAGCTGTGGCAAAAGAGACAGCTGATTCGTTAGAGAAGTTCGGTGAGGTGCAGGAGTCAAATTTCCACCCGGCAAACAAAGTGTTCTGACAGATCATTCGCCGGCTCCGAGGTGCAAAGAAGGGCAGTCTCAGAGTCTTAAAGGACAGTCTTACCAAGGATGGTGACACTCTTCGGC